CGGTTGGACTGATGATCTTGGAGGTCTTTTCCAACCTCAGTGATTCTATGATTCTATGATTCTATGACACTGGAAATAACTGGTGAAGGCAACTTGTGAGGACCTGGAGGTATACACTGAGCTTGCAAATGTCTCCCCAGAATGGGAGTGCCGACACAGAAACAGAACTCGTGTCTGTCGTTGTAGTGAGCAGTACCCATTACATGCATTTGCAGAATAGCTAAGAGAACAAATTAAGCACTTGGTTTTGAGTGCGCAGACAAGAGAACATGCAGTCCCTTCCTTTCTAGAGTGATTTTAACAATTGTTGCTTATCTAAGCACCTGCAGGGTGTGAAAAAAATGCTAACTCAGAAATGTTCTTCCCAACATCTGGAATCTTTCTCTACTCCTTTATTTTGAATTACTGGGTCAGTCACCTAAGAGTTTACAGGGGTTTATTTTCCTGGGTCTTTTACCGATGCTGTGGTAAAAATCTGAAGTGCAAGCCATACAAAGAAAGATACAATCATGCCAAGAAATCAGCCCCCATTGCACCAGACTACATTCATCTCCCTGCAAAATGCTGAGTAGGAGAGTTTGGAGATGTATTTCTTTTAAGGTGACGTATTAATGAAGATCTTAAGTTATCTGTTGACCACCAAACTGAATTATCACACTGACATTTTTACACAGCATATGAAAAAGCACTCCTTTTCCGTGAAACAAAAGTACAAAGCCCTGCACGTGCAGGAATAGCTCACCTAAAAGTGGGAGATGTGATGTGTTTGTGCCTGCATATTTGTTCAATTTGTTAACTGAAGACCAGGGGGTTTGTAGCTCTGGCAGGATGACCGATTATTAAAGTTTGTACTTTCTAGATTCTGGAGAGCTGTTGGGTGATCTGTCAGAGCATTGTCTGACACATCTAAACTTTCCCCTGAGTGCTACATGAGTGCTGTTTCTGAAGAACCCCAGTTCCTAAATTTCCCCTTGGCAGTTCTTCCTCAGCATGCCTGGCAGATCACCCTAACCCATTGCAGAGCACTAACTCCTGAAGGTTTGCACTGCCAGCACAGTGGCAGATGAAGGAATCCAAAGCACACCCAGACCCCAAACCTCACCCCAACCTGAAGTTCTTTGGCAGAACTACCAAAGCAAACTTGCTGTGGGAGTAAGACAGTAACACCCCCCTTCAATACGGTCTATGTGCTTCAGTTTCCTTTAATGCAGAGAAGCAGAGGGATGCCATATTTTGCAGTCATCTAAGGATCTTAAAGGGCTCTCGGTGTAGTCATGCTGCTTTTCTCTAAAATCAATTGCTTTTATAATGGCACTTGTCTAGGCATAAGAAGCCAAGCTCTATCCCAAGAGTTCTCAATTTGCCAGGCAAATATCAAAGTTTTAATGGGAAGTAGAATTTGCCTTTAGCTATTTACTGGCTACATTAGTAATCAGAATTCAATATTTATGAAGATATATCAATACTCTTGAAATATCATGCTGACATTTTCTCTGGAAACACATTCTTTGCCACTCCAGGCAGCTATTTCAAAATCGATATGCCCCTGGAAGACAAATGGCTTTGTTAGTGCTCCACAATTATCAAACAAGAAATATTTTGCATAATGTTGTACATTCACAGAACTAGACAATTTTCTTGGAAGAAGACTTCAACTGAGACTATAACCTTTGATTCTGACCACAGACTCCTTCCAGCAGCAATGACATCATCTAGCAGAATAAATACTGGCAGAAGGCTCCAGCAGAGCAAAACCTGCCATGGTGCTCAGCACTGAATGTCCATGTGTTATCAGAGAAGGAGCACTGGTACTTGGGGAGAGCTAGGCTGTTAGGGATTACAGGCTTAGGAACACTGGCCCAGGGCTGATAGGGGAGAGAGGAACAGCGGAGGCTCCACACAGCGCTGCCCTCTCAGCTGTCGCCCCTAGAGCCCCTTGTCTTACAGCACTTCTGTGCCAATTATTGCTACCTAAACACAGGGACTAACACTAACCAGAGCAGTCCCAGGTGTTTCTCTTACAGGCGAGACACTTCAGGGCTTCTCCACAGACTCCAGTTTCAAATTTAACCTGCTTTCCAGTAGTGCAAACTCACTGCCCACTGCTTCCTCCCTACAACACAGGCAAGGAAGGAAGGTGTGATTTACAGCTCCTGTTTCCAATTGGGTTAATCTTTTCCCCAGATCTCTAATTATTTCATTTAATTTTGTATTGGGAAAAAGGTGAATTGAGTCCTAAAATTATATATCACAGCACCAGCTTGCTGAGATTTATTGGCGTGGGGTTACAAGAGCCTGCTGGTAGCAACTCCTCTCTCTCTTTGTGTCTAGCTCAGCTCCAAATTCTAAATCTGCAGTTAAAGGAAATGTCATTGCCTGGCACATCGTTGCAAATGGACTGGGAGTATCTATGATAGGCTGCTGCAACATCCTGTTTTCAGCCTTTATTTTACAGCACAGAAGCCTGAATTAGCCTGAGATCTTTCACACAGTTTTAATGGCACTTTGTCAGAGCACACTCTGTGAGTCCTCTCAGAAAATAAATGTCACCAACTCAGTGAAACATTACAAAGATGATTCCAAAGTGCACACATTCAGGAACACTGCAGTCCTTGTCAGACTTAACAGGGACATTCACAGCAAAAAAGCCAAGTGTCTAAGTGAAGTACCTGAACTAGAGGGCCGATTACATTAGCCTCAAAACAACAGTGAGATGGGCTGCTAAAATAACCAGTGCAGCCCAGGGACCAATCTAACACCCCAAAAATTCAGTGGAAGCCTCCCTGTAGATTGCAGTGGAAGGAGAAGCAAACTCTTATCTGTATATATTTGCTTAACATTTTAAAATTAGAGAGCATTAACGAGTAGCTCAGAAGCCCATACTGATGGCTACTGAGGCACCCAACTATGTAACAAGATCATTAAGTGGCAATGAATGTTGTCACTTGGTATCATTTATCAGCTATGTGACTGATTTAATTATTTAGTGAGAGTCCAGCATTCATTCACTATCAGATTTTGAGATTCCTTTCATTCCTACTTGGTGATGTGGCAGCAAAATTTAGAATCAGAATAAATCCAAATCACTCCATGAATTCAGTAGGAACAAGAACACCAAATGGGCTCTAGCAACCAGGACTAATGCATTGGGCTTGCTTTAATATTCATGTCTTAAGGTAGCAAGGATGTTACACAAAAATCAGCCAAATGAATCATAGAATGCTTAACTGCAGACAGCTATGAGTTAGAGAAGAAAGACCACTTCCTCTTTGAGTACTTTCGGGATGTAAAAATAATCACAAATTCCTTTTTTTTTAAAGTATCACTTCATTCTTTGAATACAATCACGTTTTAAAGGTCAGATGTCTGCACCTCTACACATATGTAGGTAACTAGAACCTAGGTGACTGCTTAGCACCTGTAAAAAAGTTTCTCTTTAACAGGATGTCTAGAAAATGCTTACCAGCCTTCCCAAAAATATTGGTTTTAATGAATTATTTTGGTTTAATTCTTGCACAAACCAAAAATACAAATAGAAAAATAGTAATCATTCATCAAGATTTTAGATGGCAAGAACTGTATTCTACATTTATCAAAAATTTTTGTAATAAGCAAATGGTATCCTCCCCACCAGAGTTAGGAAACCTTGTGTTCCCTCAGTGCTTTTTTTTTTTGAGGGCAACATCTCCATGCATTTCCCCATTTCTTTATACAAGCTTCCTATATGATACATTCTTTCAGTGCTAAACAGGCAATGAGGAAGGAGGCAGAAGACTCAGGCACTGCCCCAAAGTCTACCTTGTCTAAGGGGTAGAGAGCAGATCACTCACCATCACACAACACGAATCACACAACAAATTAGTCATCAGACACACCACTACAGCTTAGGCTTTTGTGGTTGTTCTTGGGGTCACTCTGCTTCTGTGGTGCAGATTAGAAGGGCAGCCTCAGTGGCATCATACAGGCGGTCAAAGAGAATCATCCTTCTTCCCGGAGGAATTCCTTTCTCCAGTATTAGCACAAATAATCACTAATGTCCACAAAAAAACCCAGATGGTACTGTGAGAACTAACGCAGTCATTCCTTTCAGTCTGAAAGGTCCTGAAAGGACAGGGCTGACTAGAAAGATTGGTCAGCAAAGCTTGAAAACAGTGGAAATCTATTGAAAAGGAGGATAGGGAAGGTTTTGCCAAGGCACGTATTATTCATGGATCCCGAGCACATTGTGCCAAAGCTTCCACCCCTGCTCTCCCCTTACTTACAGTGAGCTGGAAAGGCTGCAACCAGAAACAAAGCCCCTTACGGGAATTGTGTCTGAGGAAGTCGGGAGGTTGGCTGAGCACATTTGCTTCATTGCATTTCTAGATCATTAACTTATTTGCTTGTAGCTCTCACTTTCAGACTCATTACACATATAGCAATTTTGGCTTCCATACTTTCTCTTACCATTTACTGGCTCATCAGAGACAGTCACAGAGTGAGAAACTGGGTGGAAAGCATGTCTTCGTAACAGGCTGTGACACCAGACTTGGAAACTCACTGGCTAAATGGCTTGACAAAAGGGGATTTTGTGTCATTGCTGCATGTGCCACAGAAAAAGGAGGCCAAGAGCTATGGTCCTGCTCCTCACTCTCACTGAAGACAGTGAACCTGAACTTGGCTGACTCCAACAGCATTGCCAGGGCAATGGTAAGTGGCAAGGTAATTTCCCAGAAAAATGATTCAATATAACCAAATCTGATCTAGCTAAAAGTTCTGGTGCTTCTCCACTCTCCGCAGAGGCATTTTTTGTCTTACTGATGAAACGCATTCACTCTTCAGTTCTGTCATTTCTCAGTTCAAAGAGATTCTCTCTAGCAATGCTTTTGGGCTTCCCCTCGCTTTCACCAACAGGGTGCCTAAAAAATTAGTTGCTCAGTCTATTAAAAGCAGATCATTCCTAGGTGTGTTTTACAGACTTTTTTTTGGTGCAGTTGAAGAATCTCAGTGGGGGGAAGGTGCTAACTGGTACCAGAAAAAACTTTCTTGACAATGAAACCAGCCCACCCAATTAAAAATGGCTGGTGCAGGGCTTCTTCAGCCCTCCTCTAGTAAGCAGAAGAGTGTTTTTGCATGGCTGAATAAGTCCGACTTTTGCAATGCACACACAACAGTTGCACTGACTGTAACAGTTAAACACTTGCCGTTTCAGCCAGTTTTCTTAGAGTTGTTACATAGGTAGCTCTCACTACTGCTATCCTACACCTCTGAGCACTTGACTAAAAGAGGAAGAGTTTGTCCTTGGATACCTATGAGCGGAGTTAAAAAACAAGACTTAAGTGTTGGTTTTGGCAGAGGGTGATAAAAAGATCTGCGTGGTAAATATATTCAACCATAGCAATACGTGTTTCTTTCTCAGCACCAATAGCTCAGACTAGACGTTGTTAAGGGCTGCCAAAGGGGATCACAGCACCGCAACTCCAGCTGTAACACACAGTTATACCAAATATTCAATAGGCTTGTTAATCAATTAACTAGCTAAAACAGCAAAACACATATCTTCTACCAGTAGGACTTTCTCCTCAAAGCTTGTAAAACACTGATGGCCTCATCATGACAGTTCCAGACCATTCTTGAATGTAGAGATTGAGGGCAAGGACAACATAATCATTAGTGCTTACCTCCTCCAGCAGGCCCCTGCTTCCAGCTTGTGGAAAGCTGTTCTCAGCCAGGGTATCCACTGCTAACGCTGTCACCTCAGTCTGAGAAGCTCTTTATGGAGGCTGAGTGCTGGACTTTCGGCCTCTCCCTTCAGGTGTGGGCTATCCTCAGCAAACTCTTGGAAGCGTCACTATTTATTTAAAGGTCCTCAAGTAATTTATAAGGTAGTAAAGCAGTATTACCAATACACAGGGTTAAGCTAATATTTTTAGAAGCATTGACTAATTCTGCACATCTGGTTCAGACCTTTAGACCCCAACCCAGAAAAATCAGTCTCTCCACTTTTGTGTAGACTATTTGATTTTTCACAAGAATATAAGTGCATGTTAGGAGCCCACATACTTGAGCAGATCTGGATAATAAAGCCCAGTGTGGTGGCCCATATCTCCGACCGAAATAGTTTTCCTTTAATACTTTACCCATGCTTCTTTAGAGTCATTGCCTAAGGCCTTCAGCAAATTTTGTCAGGTGTAGAGGGCAGATCTTACAAGCAAACCCCAGATGACTGTATTCATCTCACTGAAGTTTTTGCAGACTGTGTGCTTTGATCCCAATGCTACATATGAAACTCTAGAGTAAAATATTGTCACATACCAAAATAAAAGGTTTTGTAATCCTCTTAGGGCTTTTTGGTTTGGTGAGCAATGCTGAAGGAACAGCACCTGTAGCACTCACTGACTGGCTGAGGATGAAGACTTCCACTCAGTGCTGGATGTTAGTCTGCTGGGATTGATTGAAATCACACTCAATCTTCTGCCACTTCTGAAAAAAGCTGAGGGAAGAGTAGTCAATCTAATTAATGCCAAAGGCCTCATGGCTTTTGTAGGGGGTGGCTACAGCCTGTCCAAATGGGGTATGGAAGCTTTTCTCACACCTTATGGTGAGTAGCTAGAAAAACATGCATGAATCCAAGAACAGATTCCAGATGTGCTGAGGAAGGGTGACTGTATGTTTGCCCCTCTTGTTTTTTCTCTGGAAATCTTGCCTAAAGGGGGAAAGGAAAATAAGGGGATGTTGGTCACTTGTTTGGGATTTCAATCTCCGGTACTATGAACAGACCCACCAGGAACCTGCACTGGGAAAAAATTTCATATCCTGGACAAATGCATGCAGCTTTTGGGCATGTGAATCCACTGTGTACACAAAAGTAAATCAACAGTATAGCCTGGTCAGACACCTAGAGTTTCCTGGGCAAGTTGTACTTAGTTGTACTTGCCCATTTACAACCCATTTTATTTTGCTCTGATGCTCCACAACAATCTGAGCTGGGCGATTCCAGGCAGCAACCACATTACCAAAGGTACTCATAACTTCAGAAAATTAAGCTGAGCACCCCTTCACTGAAGCCAGTTGTGTTGTACGGCCTTGAGAAGGCTAAGGCTTAGCCCAGTGAGTCAAGTCTTCACAAGGACTAGGAAAGTTGGTTGCAAACCATTATGAATGCTTATATAAAGACAGTATATGTCCCAAGGAAATATAATAGAAACTAATGGCTAGTGTATATGTGGTCCATTCCTTTGCACACTTTGGAATGTAGCTGCCTGGGTCTCTTGAGCTGCCCAGCAAGACAAAGAGGCCATTTTCATCCCAAAGGAATTGCATTGCAACTCAAAATTACATAGAGGGAACCACGCTACCAGAAAACACACTAACCTTTATTGCACTAACATTTAATCACTTAACCATAGCCATTTAACCATACAATGGAGAGTAAAGTTCCAATCCAAATGAAAATTTTTTCTCACTTCTACTTTTTCACAGGCACTTTAATAATCTGTTCCTGCTGGAAGCTGAAATGATGCAATAGTATTTGAAATAGTCAAAAGTTTTAGTTTGACTAAAAAATGATGCAGCTCGCTGCTGCATCCTTTGCATCAGTCCAACATAAACCACACAGAAAGCTGTGAATCTACCTGACACTGCTTTTTTTCCTCAGAGTTAACTGCCTGCTGCGCTTTTACAGGACAGGTACATGGCTATGAAGCTAATTTGAACATCTCAAAATTATTCTGACATTTGAAGATATCGAGAGAGACTTCTTAAGACTTTGGAACAGACCGACTCCTGAGATCAGGGACTCCTATGGAGAGAAATACTTTGTTGAATGTAAGTAGAAAAAGGACTGTATGAAAGCTCAGGAAGGATGTTACCAGTGTATATAAATACCTGAAGGGAGGCTGTAAAGACAACAGAGCCAGGCTCTTTCCAGTGGTGCCCAGGGATAGGACCCGAGGCAATGGGCACACACAGAAATACAGGATGTTCCCGCTGAACATCAGGAAACACATTTTTACTGTGAGGGTGACTGAGCACTGGCACAAGTTGCCCAAGGAGGTTGTGGAGTCTCCATCCTTGGAGATACTCAAAAGCTGTATGGACATGGTCCTGGGCAACCTGGTCTAGGTGACTCAGCGTGAGCAAGGGGGATTGGACCAGACGTCCCTTCCAACCTCAACCAATCCGTGATTCTCTGAACATTTGCTGGACTTCATTAACATTTGTTAAGAACCCATTGCTGACTGTTCTGGACTATGTGTATGTTAGATGAGGCCTGTGCTATTAGTTCCCATATGAGATTGTTGAGATGTGATGTCACACTACCATCCTTAGTCCGTCCATACTTCGAGGTAGAATGCCCAGGGGAAATGAATTGCTATGACCATATGCTAAGTTTATGGCTTACTGATATCTGAAAAGTTGTGCTGTGTCATGCAGCACTTAACTGTAGGGAACATCTGGCTCACAATATGGGCCAGGGAGGTTTCTGTTTACCAGGCTCTTGGGTGTTCTCCAGCCTTTCTGGTCTCTGCTCTGCTGTAGCTATAGTGCTCTCAGTACTTGAGCCAGTAGTTTAAAGCAAGCCTGAAGCTGTAGCCAAACCTTTGAATATAAAGAATCCTCTCGCAGAGAATGTTGCATATAAATGCTTTCAGGTTTATTTTCTTCTTTGCAAATATAAAAGCTCAAAGACCATCACTGAAAAGACTGTGTGCCTCTGATATGTCTAAGGTCATAAAATGCATGGAACATGCCCTGATAGCAAAGTACCCCAGGACACGATACGGAGCTGGATGGGATGCAAAGTTCTTTTGGCTGTTTCTCTCCTGTGCCCCAAGCTGTTTGTATGGCATGCTGCTGTGTATGACGTTTCCAGCACCAGCAGCTAGTGGGAGATCAGTTCCTGGAGTTCTAATTAACATTTAGTATTAAACCAGTATCAGCTCTGCAGAAATAAATATTAATCCTGCCAAACCAGACGCCCTCTTCTTTACCAGTTACTAGACTGCTTAAATTCCTTTCAGAAGACACTTTCTCCACCCCCCCACCCCTCCTTACCTCGAATTTCTGAGTTTGCAGATAGGCTTGTAAATCCAGCATGTTTTTGAAGGTAATTTTTTATGCTCAGAAATGATACCTCTAAAGGATCTGCATTCATAAAATACTCAACTACAAAGCTGGTTAATACTACTCACCCAATAAAAAAATTTTTAAATAAGAAAAATAAAATCACTAAAAGAATCAGTTTTCCAGCTAGACTTCATCAACACATAGGCTGCTAGTGAACTTGAAATAAAACAATGGCCTTTAAGAACATGTATCTTATACGTGTATCTTACAGAATGTATTTAGCCAGATTTAGTCATCTATTTCACGGGGGTTTTACTCATGGTCATATTCAGGAGTTGCTAAACTTAAGAAGCTTCTGAACACAAGATAAGAAATCAAATAATAACAAAGCCCAGCTACTGCAACATATTCCAAAAATTACAATTGCAGTATTTGACCACATCTCATCACCTGACTATTCAACTGGGTAGAGAGATAAAACACAAGCTATTTTATAGACATGCAATTACAGGGAAAAGCAAACCTACATTGTACTCTGTTACTATGCAAACAGAGTATCCAAACTTGTATTTTAACCTTCTTCCTAATATTAGTATAGTTTATGAGGAAAATATTAAAAATAATGTGCATTCACATTTCTTTCATCCTCAGCATCCTTTGCAAGTTAAAAGGATGATTATTTCACTCATTAAATGAAACAGGTCATTAGCGTATGCTATGGCAAATTATTTCGACTGTACAAAGAGTGTGTTCAGAATGGCAAAATGTTAGTTGAGGTTACTGTGCCTTTTGTACGCTATTTCTATCTGTTAAGCTGCTGGCCAGAGGCCCACAATCTGGTGTTCCTAGAGATATTAAAATTGAAGGGGTAAAGGTTTTATTTGCTGAAGAGCTGCGCTGGTGATTAATCATTAATGTGCAATTCAATTAAGCTTACAAAAATACCATGTGCAGGTCAGAACTCCAAATGTAAGAAAAGGAGTTTCATCACTCTGTGTGTGAGGGGGGGGTGTGTATGTGTGTTTGTACATGCACAAGAAAGGGACAGAATGTAAAAAGTGTTTAGTAACATTCAAGTATTTCACTGAGGTTCTATTCTCTGGCAAATGGCTTCAAGAATAAATTTATTTTACTTCATTTCATTATAAATACCTGCAGAGAGATAGTTCTCTCTTTCTGGCCTGACAGCTGTAAAGAGACTGTGCATGAAAACACTTAATGGTATAATTTATCAGCCCTATAGTGGCAGATTACAGAGAGGTGCTGAAATCTCTAAAAATCAGCCTTCTTTGAAACAGAATGAGTCCAGAATTCAAGAATCCAAGCAGGGACTGTCCTCATAAGGGAAAAAGAATACAAGTGAAAAAATGAAGTTAGGAATAGAGTAAAGCTTCTGTTGAACAAAGTACCAACAATTAAATTTTATGTAATCAGAAGGGTACATTGTGGTATGCTACTGAGAGGAAGAGCCCAGTTGAAGCTTAAGAATTCTTCACCATCAGGTATGTTAAACAATCATCAAACCTACATACTACCTATCTATACAGTATCCCAGGGATGGTTTTCTTCCACATCTGAAAATTTAAAATTCTTGGGGGGGGGGAAGTATCTCTGATATCTCTGATACATGGCTGACATATTAGCAGTTTTCTCCAAAACTGGTTCCAAATCTTTCTGTTGACAGAGACTATTCACAAAACTGATGCTACTCTTTCTTGTGGTATGCAACTGGAGGCGAGTCTTGTGGAAATGTTAGCCCTGTGTTCTCTCTTTAATAAACACTGTGAACTCTTTCCTTAAGAACAGCAACCTGTCTTTCAAAGAAATCCTTTCTCATAGCCTTACAGATATGTATGCTGTGTCCCAGATTCCAAGGAATTTTCTGCATTAAAGCACTCAGATATGAAAGTTAATTGAACTAAGGTTTTAATCGCTTATGTCCATACCACCTTGATAGTCAGTCTCTTACAATCAATAATAAGAGTTTTCTGTTTCAAGGACCAGTTTATTTAATGCGTGTAATGGGGCAGTTTTCACACTTACAGTGATATGATGTCAGTGATGTTATATCAAGAACTTAGACAGTTGTGTGAAGCAGTAAGCACTATTCTTATTTGACTTTATCTAAAGCACTGTTGTTTTCATCTCAGAGTACGCTGAAGTCTCCACAACTGAAAAAAGTACATAGAGCCTTGACACAAATTATGGAATAAAGATGTGATAAAATAATACATTTATTAGATTTATTCAGCAGCATCATTTTCCAGTAAAAGTCTTTTCTAATCAAAGTACATTACAAAGTAATTATAAGCATTCTAATTAGAAATAGTATATATTTTGAGAACTCAGAGATAAAACAATCAAATAGCAGAAGTCTCAATGATTATAACTTTAGGAATCTTTAAATTATGTGAGTAGCTAGCCAGGAATGCTGAATAACATGTTCCTGCAGTGATATTCAGAGTTTCCTCAAACGGTTCATGTTGTGGAAACTACCTTGGCTAATTAATAGAAAAGCTAATAAGATGTACAGTATATTCTGATGGAAGGTTATAGAAATAATCAGATAACTACAAAGAGTGCATTAGTAGAAATTGTTTCCCTTTCTATTAATGTCCAAGCTCAGGAAATAAATAGTCAATAAAATTAAATTTTCACATTAAAAAACCTGAATAATTTCTTAAATGAACCAATATCTTTCGTGCTTTGCTGTTTGGAAATAAGCTGTTACAGAAATCTAGCTACTTCATTTAATAGTACAAATTACTTCCAGAGACTCCAGCCAAGAACAGAGCTATTCCATTGATGAGCAGAGAAAAATCTCATTAAATTAAGTACTTGTGGCACTAAAATCTAAATATATCAGATCTTTTTATGAACACTATTAATGGAATGGTGTTAATTGGAACCTAGAGGAAAAGTATGTGTCTTATGGATTGAGAGGAAATTACTTTATCTCAGGCAGTTAAAATATTCTAAGAACAACATTTTGCACAGGTAACTATTCAGCATAATGATCCTGCATTGACTCTTCCATCTTTTGTTTAACACAAGATAAACAGACACACCCATTTTTACATACAGTAGTATATAAAATAGGTGGTAAAGATGCCCAGAGCACCAGTAGAACTTTTAAAAGGTGCTGTTATAAATATATACTCTAAAGATCCTGTAAGTCAGTAATGTTCCTGTATTCGCCTTGTTTGGTTCTTTTTTAGTTTAAGCATTTATATAATGACTTTATCCCTAAAGATAAGACCAATTCCATACAGATTTCTACTAGCAACATCACCGAACAAGATAATCTTTCAAAAATTTACAAATGTACAATATATTTATAACATTACTTTCAGACAGCTTCAGTGCAAAGATATACATATAGTACATCATGACAATTGTTCATAAAAATAGAAATTGGCATTTGTCAAAAAACAAGGCATAGTTTCAACATACATCTCCAGCCATTGGCTAAGAGATGTACATATTTTTATAAAGCATTTGAATGTGAACATTTCTCTTCTGTTTATAAAAAATATATGTGCAAATGGATGTGTTTAATTTTCCCTAAATCAGTTACCTAGTTATACCACAGAGTCCTCTTTAACAAGATTGGCGGTGTCTTTAAATGTATCCTCTGTTGCTGTATAAGCTAATGGTTGGTCTCTCTTCAGAGTAATCTTGGGAGGCAGTGAAGGAGAAGAAGTAGGGACATTTTCTGTGTCCTGTTGCTGTTCCTTTTCCATCTGAAACAATAATCATAAAATCCAAGTTTACATTCTAATGTACAAAACATTCAACCTTAACTTTCAGAAATGTTAAATAAATATCCAAGTATTTTGCTAAAGTCAAGTGTCATAGTATAAATTATTTCTGCAAATCACCGCCTGTAACAAAATTAAATGCTAATTTCACCTCAAATGGTACAGCTGTGTAAATACGCTACTACAAACTTAGTCCACACACTGGGACTTCTATTTTAACACTTAATGTCAGGAGTAGCTTGATATGTGTATATGCACATACATCAATGTAGATAACATTGGCACTACTACTGTTTGTAGTTACATTCATTAGTGTTGGGGAAATGAATCCCTGGCTTCCTGAACTCTCTCACCTTGTTCGAGCATTAGAAACCTAAATTCTTCACAAAAGGCAGCTAGTTTTAGTCACGTGACTGTGGGACTGAGGTTCTTAGGACATCTGGAAATTTTAAACTGTAAGATGAAAAGGGCTGGAATTACTGGCTCAAGTCAGCAGAACTCCAAACCTTCATATCCAAGCCAGGGGAGAATTCCTCCAGCACACATACCACCCGCTGCCACACCGTCTTAAAGAACTGCCTCATCCAACTGTATGGATGAAAAAAATAGGGCTGGTATAGAAACAGGGCTGCAGTACGCAGAGCTATTGAATTCTTGTGCAGTGCTGAAGCCAGGACTGAGAGGGCAGAAATGGACATTTCACTCCTAGTGCAGTACAATAGCCTCCCACTTGTGCTGTGTCCCTGAGCTGTACCAGAATGCACCAGCAAGCTGAAATCAGCACCTGAGATCCCAGAGCAGGAGCGGGCCGCGGTGCTTGGGCTGGGGAAGCAGAGATGTGGGCAATGCAGCTGTGCGGCCTGAGCTGGATGCCTGCACCTCATTCTGCACAAGACTCTACAACTTTTCTCAAAGCTACTTCAGTCCTACCTTGACCTGGGCTGGAATTTCTGTGCTGCTTCACTTAGCAGCAGAATCTACCCATAATCTTTATCCTATGAAAGCAAGAACAAATTCCAGCAGTACGTTAGCTGAAAAATAGAATCATACAATATTAAGCAATACCTCCGCATATATTGGGTTTTCAAAATTAGT